TATACATTAATCCATGTGAAGGTCACTCAGTTTGGGAATCTAAATTGTATTAAGCACTCATACTAACCAGGACACCACACGTTAAATCTGGCCTTCCATGACTATTGCTTTTAAAAGTCCTGTCACACTTTTTAGTACTTTTGTGAGAGGATTCTCTAAGAATTCAGGAACCAAGCACTTATTCCCCTTGGCCTTGATAGTAAGTAGCATTTGGAAAGATCTAAGCATGTGTAAAAGCAGATCCGTCACTGAGTACCAAAGGTTTCCATGTTTTTCTCTATTTTAACTGTTGAGATTAGCAGTGGAACAGACTTTTCATCCGCGAGAACCAGTTGTTAGCTAAGCAGCTGGTTTAGTTTTGTGTAGTAGGTAAAATGCTTGCACTGCAAAGGTGGAATTACCAGTGAGGTCTTAGGACAGTGCCTGGAAGGTGCCTTTTGGCACCCAACACAGTAACTCATAAACTACCGTCGGCACTTTAGAAATCAAATTTGTATGCAGTTGAACTACTGTGACAGTGACTTTAGTACCCTTTGCTAATAAAGCTATTAAATTCTAATTATCTGATGTATACCTAGAACACCAGTGAAGTAGCCTGCATAAAAATAATGTGGATGCATTGACAGTTGTTACTGCAGTAGAAAGTGAAACTATTTAATCCATCTGGGAAATAAGTCCCTGTTCTCCCGTGGCCTAATATTTACCTATAGACCTGTGGAAAAAATCATGTTCATGCAAAAAAAAAAAAAAAAAGAAAAAGAAAAAAGCCCTTAAGTACCTGTTGTGACCTCCACCTCAGAGAGGATGTAGATCCTCAGGAATGGACGGAGACCAGAAGACTCCCCTGACAAAACATACCATTTCCACTGTCCTACACTGACAGGGGAACCCCCTCAAAGGAAGTTCCCACTGAAAATTTCCAGCAGCAAACAGCTTGCTGGCCTCCCTCCCCAACTTGTGGTTTCCTCCTCTTTCTGCACTCTCTTCCTCCTCGTTGGCTCCACTGCTGGCTTGTCCCACCAGATGAAGGCACAGGTGAGGGGACTGGATACTGGCTGGTCAAGCCGGTGTCTTCACCTGCTCAGTTCTCTCGGGTCCTCAATGCTTTCCCAGAAATGCTGTTTTCTTCCTGTCTGCAGGAAACCTACCTGTACATTATATCCTAAGCTTTACTGTCCTCTGTGACCTTAATATCTTCAGGCAATGTTTTGGAAATTTAGAAAAATGCTTTTCTTAATCAGCAGTCTCTATTTCTCTATTTTAAAGACTGTTTTCCTTGGTGCCAAAAGGCAAAACCAAACCTGAATGTGGTCTTTTACTTGCTCTCCTATGAGTTTAACAGCAGAAAAATAATAAATTTAAGGATAAAGCAAATTACTTTGAGATAGTTCAAGAATACCATCCCCTTCACTTTTCAATATTTACAAGATTAAAATTTTAATTTTGCTTATAAATCTGGAATTTTTTATAACATTTAAAAGGCAGAGTTAGAGGAAGAAATCTTCCATTTGCTGGCTCACCCCCAAAATGGCTGCAACAGCTAGGTCTGGCCCAGGCCAAAGCCAGGAGCCCAAAATTTCTTGCTGGTCTCCCGTGTGGATACAGGGGCCCAGGCACTTGGGACACTTTAGCAGGCACGCAGGACGCTGAATCCTATCAACCTGGATTTGAACCAGCACTTACATGGGATACCAGCATGCCTGCCCCTAAATACGGAATATTAAGCTAACAGTTCTCAAAAGTGAACTGAGACCAGTGGGAACAGATCCCTAAGAAACTTGCATGTTTTTGTGGTCTTTTTATATTATTTGTCCTTTTTCCTCCTTCTCTGAGGGTATAACTGAGTTTCCCTGAGGCTACATAAAATACGATATTCTACGATTGTAATATGGTAAATACAACGTACTTCTAAGGTTCATGAAAAATGGGGTAAATGGTGAACTTTTATGGTGCAAATATTTTGAAACCCATAGTTTTTTCCTAATATGTATTTTTCATAAACTTTTGGAAGACCCCCTCCAATGTCTGGATTTCACAAATTTTTTGGACCAAAGTGAAACTCTTGAATTCTATTTTTCTACAAACTCTCCATCACGATTCCTGGAGTTCGGACTTGTATGTCTGAGATCTGTTTTTTCCTCCCTGGAAGCTTTTCAAAATTTACTTTTATTTGAGAGAAACAGGAAGAAAGATGAGAGCAAGTTCCAATCACTGGTTCAGTGCCCAAAAGGTTGGGGGCCAAAACCAGAGCCCTCCTGTGTGTGTGGCAGGATCCTAATGACTCAAGAATTTTTAAGAGTGCAAAAAGGACCTGAGAGTTATTGGTTTAAGACTTAACAAGTTAGAAAACACCATTCTTTGCCATTTAATAACCACAAGCCTTTTCCTGAAATCTTCCAGTAATCCTTAAGTCTTTGTTTTGACACAGCACTTGAAGTATGTACTGAGCAAATGAAAAAATGACCAGCAGACTTGCCAAAGTAGTTAGTAGTTAGTTAGTTAGTTAGTAGTTAGTTAGTTTCTCATCTGTAGAGAAACTTATAAGCAAAAATACACACATGTAAAGCAGAGTACATGGGAATGGCAATTTCAAAGAACCATGGCAAAAATGGTTATCTTGGGGAGAAGAAAGTTTGTAAACATTTTATGGCTTATGTAGAAATGTTTTCTTACAACTGTGTCCTCTCATTTTTTCCCCCAGAGATTCCTTCAGTCGAATGAGCCTTCGTAAAATGGATCTTTAAAATAAATGAACTTGTTTTATTCATTTGACAAGAGCCATGTATTCAACATTGAACTGAAAAGAAGTTATGCTCTATTGGAAAATGACTTAAGGACATACTTCTGGGAATTACAGCATTAAGCAAATCACCGAAAAATGCCAAAATGATATCCAATGTAGACTGTTAAAAGTTGAGAATCATGGCTATAGTTTCTACTGTTCTGGTAACATACTGTTATCTTAAGACATTTTAATGACACAAAGGTACACTATACATTTGCCATTATTTATATCATAGCTAATGTTAAGTTTATTTACTTTAAGGTCATATTTCTTAATTTATATTACCATTTATAGATTCATTTTGGAACCATTTTAAATGTAGTAATGCTTATTTTAAAGGTACTATTAAATATGTGAATGTTTACACTAATTTACTGAGTGAGACTTAAAACTTTTCTTCAGTTACAAAGGCAGGGCAGTAAGATAATTCAAGAACAGGTTCTAAAATTAGCAAAGAGATCCATAAGCACTTTATGGGCCCAAAGAATACCCCAACTTAAACGAGTTAATGAGTAAAGACAGGCAGCAACCAAGGCTTTGTGAAATCTATTTAAATTTCAATTTACTTTCTATTTAGATCCCCAAAATTTGTCATTATAGGAACTGTTTATTTTGGTGCAACAAGTCTTGAAATCCATGCACATAAGGGATGTTCAAAACATTTGCAGAAAATGAGCATTAAAAAAATACATGGATTTCAAAGTTTTTTTCACCAAAATAAAATTACTTGTTAGTTCTACCTTCCATGAACTTTGGATACTCTAATTGTACCTGATAAAACTTTTAATCTATAGATATCAAATATTAGAAATAGTTAATACCAAGTGACAGGAATCATAAATACTTGTATGATTCAGTCATAACAACTTTGTCAGCTTCTTAACTCTTAGCAGTTAAATCTTGCACAAATTACTTTCTGACTCGTGAATTTTAGAAACCACTTGTGAAACTGGCTTTAATCAAAACTAATTTTATATTAAAAGTAGAAAACAATCTTTGAGAAATTAACATGTTCTTTGTCAAGTTTTTCCACAATGCATATTTACAATTTCTAAAAATGTTTTATTTTCTGAATGGTAGCTTACCTTATGACATTTATAGTCTATTTCTACTACTACTAAGTAAAAATTTAATCTACTGCTTTTATCCTGCAGTTAATGGCTGATATGGCCCTCTCCAGCCTATGTTAGTGAACTGGCAAGTATTATCTCAAATTCCTCATCTTATCAACTTGGACTAAAGGAATTACAACAGGGCTTCTCTGCTGTTTATCAAAAAGAGAAGTCCCAAGGGCATAACTTCAAAACTCTATCCTGGGGAAAGAGGAGAAAGATAAACAGGATGTGTAAGAAGTCAAGAACTTCCCCCCTCCCTTTCCCCTTTTTGAAGTATTAACCCTCAAGTCACTTTAGGTACCTGTAAGTGGGAACTTGGACTATTTCATATAAATCTCAGTGACAATACTAAAGATTTAGAAGATATACAATGATTTAATTATCACAAGTTACCAATTCTCAGAATTTAGCCAGAACTCTATAAGATGGTATGATACAAAATTTTTACATCAGCTTTTTAAAACTTTTTTCTTTAAAAAAAAAATGAATACAAACTATCTCACATCAGGAATTTATATTAGTTCTTGATATTGGCTGTCTTTAGAGGTCCAGGTTCTACTATACACCCACTGGCTGTTGCATTAATGACTGCAAATGCAGTAAAGAGTCATGACTTTATGGCCAAATGTAGCTAATTTTCTAGTTAACCAGGTAACTTTGTTAAAGTGGAACATTTAACAATGTCACTTCAATAACACTTATATATTGGTCAGAATAATTTTGAACAAATTTTAGTATCAAGAATGTTCTTTAACAAGTCATAAGATGATTGATTCATCTGCTAACAAAGTGAAAACTTAACCAGGTTTTAGGTGGACTCAAAGCATCGTAAGTTCTCCAGTTTGGGATTCTATTAAGTACTATATCCATATAAAGGACAACTAGAATGCAACAATTACTATAAACATCTTAAATATGACAACCTGATGGATTAAGCATTTCTCTTCTGTGAAAAGTTCTCCACCTCCACTGTGAGAAAAGGTTCACTATCACACCAAGGTAATTGTGCATGTTTACTCGTTTTAATAAACATACACGTTAAGATGAATCAGCTGTATTTATAATAGAACTATGAAAGTAAAAACTCAAGTATTTGTATACATATTTGTTAAACAGTTCAAATTTTATTGACCTCCCAGTTTTTTTTTAAAAAAAGTTAAATTTAGGTCATATCTAAGTTTGATGTACTATATACAGATCATGCAGAGTATGGGTATGAAGAGATAGAAATTGGTAGAGTACAGGATCATCTTACATACATTTTTGAGAAGATTTCAGAGACTGTCCAGGTTTTTGGAGACACTTGAAAGGGTCAAGGCACAAATTATACATCATTGTGAATATACACATTCTAGACTTTGTGCCTTTGATACAAACTGATATAAAACTAATTAAACTGATGAAATTCTACTTCTTCGGTGAAAACCATGGGACCTATAAAACATCATGTAGGTAATTACTCCAAAATATGGAGAATACAACTACAAGCACTTTATTTTAAAAAGCAAACACAAAAGGTCAGTGTAAATCCAAAAGTACGTAAATGCTTCCATTACGAACCTACTTAAGCTTGTTCCCAGAAGCTAATGTGTCACTAGTCTCTACAAAGGAAAATGAATCCTAAAAAATTAACATGGTTTTCAGTAATTCAAATTTCCGCTATCAAAAAACCTAGAGACCAATAATATCCAGTAACTGCAAAAGATAAGCTAAAAGACTCTTTCATGTAATCAACTTTACCAATGTTTGTCCAGGTCTGTTTAATATACAATATATATGTACAATGAAAATATGTTTACTCTATAATTTCTTATAAAACAGTAAGTAAGGAGTAGATGTAGGAGATGTTGAAGGGGAAAGAGAATTCAGAAAGTCCTTTTCTTCAGTAACTTTCACTTCAGAATCGTCAAAAAGCAACCACTTTCCCTCATACTCCTTTAAGCTTTGCACTATGTATGAAATCTTGTTCTCAAATCCACTAATGTTAACGCCTGTTTGGTCACTGGAGTCCTTGTTTCCATCAGACTCACGAGTCCCGTTAGGACTGTTAGTGTCCGAATTTCTATTTTCAGCAAATGCTGTACTGGTAACTTTGTCAGGATTAGCTGCTTTACTGTGAAGCTCATAATCCGTCTTGCTCTTTTGTCCTCCGAGAAGTCCAACAGCTTCCACATTTTTTTTGTTCAAAGCTTTACTTGGCTGTGTATTTCCACCAACTCTAATGGACACTTCTTCATCATAATTTTCAGCCACACCCCTTGCTTCCTCCTCATTCAATGGTTCTGGCTTACCTATTTCACACATTTGGTCAACCATAAAATTTCCCTTATCTAGTTCTAAACTGTTAAGGTCTGTGACTTTAACAGAAGCAGTGTAATGCCCACTACTAATTGTAATTCCACTGTGCATCACAACTGCAAATAATCCATAGCTGTCATTAGTTGGTTTTGTGCTCCACTCTTCTAGTGACAATTTAAGAGGTGTCAGTAAAGGCGTGTTGATCTTGGAAAGTCCACCACCGTAACAATCAAACCTTTGGGAGGAAAAGAAACAAGGTTTCCTGTGGTTAAACATTTCACATGTGTGTTTACTCATTTTTATTTATTTGAAAGGCAAAGAGAGAAAAAGAAACTATGAATTATTTCATCTGCTGATTCACTCCCTAAATGCCCACAAGGGCAAAGTCTAGGCCAGGCTGAAGTCAAGAGCCAGACACTTCCTCCAGGTCTCCCAAGTGAATGGCAGGGTCTAAAGTACATGAGTCACTGGCTGCCTCCCTGGTGCAACAACAGGAAGCTGGATTCACAGGTCAAGGTGAACTCAACACACTCTGCTGTGCAACTCTGGAGCTCCAAACTGCAGTGGCTTCAACTACTGGACCATAACATACACATCCATTGTAAATTCAAAATTTAAAATTTTGTACCCAACATGAAACAAAGTGAAAGTCTAAATGAACCCTTAATATTAACTGCTCATAGGGATAGATTAGAAAGTAGAAGACTCCAAATCTGAGTAATTCTGAGTAAGTTACACACATACTGAAATTAGTGCCAAATATTTAGGTATTTTAGATTATCTTTTCTTTGTCTAGGTTGTAAGAAAACAGGTGAAATTTTCAGAAAACTGAACTTGAAATCAAGTTTTATCAAACCACAGGAATAAAAATGAGCATCATAGAAGGATGAGCACGTGGTGTAGCATTCCTGGGATACCCCCATTTCATAACAAAGTAGTTCCAGCTCTATTCCCATTCCAACTTCCTGCTAATGTGCATCCTAGGAGGCAGCAAATGATGGCTCAGACAGTTGGGTGCCTCCACCTACAAGTGGAGTTTCAGGCTTCTGGACCTGGCTCAGGCTCTACTGCAGTAAAGTATTGTCCAAGTAAAGTCCACCAAGTTTTTAAAGATTGTCTTTTTTTGCATAATAAAGTGCATAAAAGCTTCTCAAAGTTCTTACTGCAACCTGAAACAAGTCATGATGTACACAGGAGTAACGCCTACAATGCCATGTGACAGAAAAAAGTTTTCATATTGATTTTTAAAGTAACTTTTAGACCTATGAATTCTCAACTACAGAAGAACTTTTTCAATGATTAGTTGGATTTCCTGGCTTACTCAAAAACTGAAAAGATTTTTTGCCTTTCTGACTCTCAAATTTAATGCATACAAGATTTATTATCAGCTTTAGTCAGTTTTACTAAAACTGAATTCAAGTATAACGATTTAAAAATGTATTAAGAAATAATGAGTATGTATTGATACTAAAAGGACTTAAACATGCATTTTTACAGGGAAACTGTTTAATACAAGAAAAAACTTTCAAGGCAATATTTACAAATTCATTTCAGTACTCTTATATTCATACTGTTAAGTACTGTAACAAAACCTCCAGAACAGTTTATTTTCTTCATATATCTTTTATTTGTAATACTCACTCCAAGCCACTAGCAGCAAAGCACTTCAAATGAATAGTGATAACTTCAGGCATTTTATCAAACAAAAGACTTCGTTCAGCTTCAGTATAATGATGGCAATTTTCACAGAAATATTTATCTTCTCCCACAATCCTTTCCACTGAAGCGAACTGTGAAATTGCCCATCTTAAGGTTTTCATTTCCGTTTTTGGTTCTGGAGAAACTACAAAGACAATCTTTTCACTTATAAATGTGAGACATTCAAAAATTAAGTCACAAAGTTACTATGCACAGAATTAGTATTCAGAGATTTTACTTTCAGAAACTACTTTTATAAATGTACACAACAATGTATGCCTCTTTCTTATCCAAAACTCATTTATGCCGTAGGGACAGTCGGCCTCATTAAGAGCCAAAGTGGTGGTGGGGGAGAGGGAGGCAAAGACTGGGTTTAAGATATAATGGTTTAGCCACTCTTCAGTAGACATGCTTACTCTTAAACAAGTGAGACGTGTTAAGCAGAAAGGTTGTACATTAGACCTACAGTTATTAGAAGCCAATTATTCCCTCTCTAAACACCTAACACGTCAAGGAAACTATGCAGCTTTGAAGAAAACTGCAATTTTGCCATGGTCTACAAAGACTTAAATTTTGCTTACCTTCAGAATTCTCCTCCACTTTGGAAAGCTCATCTTCTTGTACTGGTACACTAATGTCCTGAAAATCTTCTCTTCTTTCTGTTAAACTTTCACATTCCAAGCAACGAGTCCTTAATACCAGCTGACCTTGAAATAACTTCTCTACTAGCTCAAAACCAATTTGCTCTGCACCTGAATTTAAAATAGGAAAAGTCAAGTCTACAGATTTTTTTCAGTATAGCCAAAATAACCAATCTGCCAGTTAAAGTGTATCATGAATTAAGAACCTCAATTTCATCTTCAGCTTATTAGCACTGATACCATGTTCCTGAAATACAGACTTCCTTTAAAAAATGCTTGTTACTATGAATTATTAAAAGCTAATTTTATCTTAATTCCCGTCCCTAAGACACCCCGTACAGAAATAACCAGAATAAAGTTGGCACTTTTATGAAACTTCACCGTATTAATAGATTTTCTCTGAAATATGCAGATCTGAACAAAACTGTGCAGCCAAAATCAAAGGAGGCATAACTACAGAGTCCACTGCAAAACTTCAAAAATTTTATTCTATGCAATTTCCTTCATGCGTTTACACCAAATTTTGCATAGACAAAGGAAATGAGTTTTCCTACTCAAACATGCTCATGTTCCCAAATTAACATTAGATGCATGTAATAAATTAAAGGATCTTTTAAAAAGTCCACGGGGAAAAAAATCCTCACATATTTAAAAAATTTTTATGCCAAAATAAGCTTTTAAATTCCATTTCCAAACTTTCTGAATTGTCCTTGTTTGTCTACAAACATCTAAGAACAATGTTGAAAAAAAATCACAGTTCCGTTAAATTTCCTTCAAACAAAAATTTTAGCCATACAAACTATGCTGCAAAGTATTGTAATTCCATAGCTGTGACTACTCCCTCCCTATATCGAAGGCTGCAAATTATACTGACCTTTGTTTATGGGCTTAGCTTCACTAGCATTTACAGGTGTAACCTTATTTCCTGGAGACTCAAGACCAGAAACGTAAGTTGTGTCATCAGTTTCACACTTCTCCAGATCCTCTTCGAGATCACATTCATTTTCTTGAGACTGTCCTTTGGCTCCTTGGTTTGTTGTTATTTTTCCCAGACTACAGAATTTAGAAAGAATGCTGGGTTGCTTAGCTGATGACTTTAACCAATTTATTTTTACTCTTGATTTCTTTTGTGAGGGTCTTGCACTCTCATTTTCAGAAATACACTTGGAAATTACTTTAGAAGGAACCTCCAACGTATCCCCTACAGCTTTTCTTTTGGATCTAGTTTGTCTCTGGTTCTCTTCCAATGACTGGTGTTCCTTGGACGTTTTAACTTTTTTCTTCAAGTTACCAAATTCAGAGTCACTTTTTCTTTTTCCGTTTCCTTTTGGGAGCTTTTCTTTACAGTCCTCAGCATTCCTCATGCTGTCAGCCTCCACACTGTTAAGATCACGCACTTCCTCTTTCTGATCAGGTTTTTCTTCTATCTTAGTAGGTAATTCCGCATTATTTTTTACTTCTTCTTTTTTTAGGAGTTGGCATGTTTCTTGAATGTTTCCCAAAATACACTGTAATACTTCTTGTGCATCATGCTGTAAATATCCTTCATACATAGGGTTGAGTTCCCTATAAACAGAAATTTTCATTTCACCTATTCTAGTTTTGAAGACACAGGACATAAACTCTTAGGTAAGAATTCATTCACAGGAACATCACAACTGCTTCATTTTGAAACTTCTATTACAACAGTTCTTTAATTCCCCTTAAGTTAGAAATTGTTAATACTTGCGTGGTGTTTTACCATATGCCAGACAGATTGATTATCTATATGTGTATGTATGTATATATGTACACATATATTATAATCAAAATAATCCCATGAAATAGTTAAGTATTGTCATCCCAACATAAAGGGAACTAAACAGGCACAAAAAATTACATTGCCTGCCAAAGATCACAGAACTGGTGAATATGCACAGAACATTCAAACCTGCTCTTGGGCACCAACCTACCAATCTCTCTTAAAAAAGGCAGAGGAATGTAATTCATGTATAGATTCTTCAACTAAATGATTGTTTTTTTAATGATTTTTTTAAAAAAGGCTATTTTATCTATAACTTAAAAAAAGACAATCTAATCCAATGAATTCATTGCCTAAGCACACGTAACTAGAATATCTGGAATTCACAGTTCCTATACATAGTAATTCCTCATATGAAATCTTTATGATCACATGTATTTTCAGAATCCAGAAATTTTCAGATTTCAATATAATATGGCACATAAACACAATACATATCACCAATATGAGCCAGTATTCCAATTCAACTTTATTTCTCAAAAAAAAAGTTTACTCTAAAGATTATAAATAATCTCGTTCAAATTTCATGTAATGAATTTAATACCAAATTTATGAAAAGATTTTCCATTCAGAGCCTCTGGGATATAAAAGACTATCAACCTGGAATGGGATTTTTCTTGCCCTTTATTCTTACTCGATCACTCTCCTTCAAAGAAACAATCAGTTAAAATGGAATCCTAAAATCGTTATTAATAGGCTATACCTGAGTGTGTTAAGCAGTCGCCTCGGTTGAGTAGCAAGTTCATCAGTATATTTCTCTGGATTTAAGAGAAAACTAGCCTGAAGTTGTTCAACTGAAATTATTAAGGACTGTAAACTGCATATCAGTTCATAACTTGCCAAAGAATCTTCTTTGCAATTTCCCTGTCAAGAGAGAATGCCCAAACTAGTTATTGTCATTTTTTTAAAAATTTATTTTTATTAGAAAGTCAGATATATAAAGAGGAAGAGAGACACAGGCAGATCTTCCATCTGTTGATTCACTCCCCAAGCAGCCACAATGGCCGGAGCTTGCCGATCCGAAGCCAGGAGCCTGGCGCCTGTTCCAGGTCTCCCATGCGGGGGCAGGATCCCAAGGCTTTGGGCTGTCCTCAACTACTTTCCCAAGCCACAAGAAGGAAGCTGGATGGAAAGCAGGGCTGCCTGGATTAGAACCAGTGACCATATGGGATCCCAGCATGTGCAAGGCAAGGACTTTAGCCACTAGGTCACTCCGCTGAGCCCTTATTTTCATTTATAAACAAAGTATCTTCCCTCTTTTTTGTTCCACTACACATCAGCTTTTCTAAATCCCATTATACTACTAATTTCCAAGAGGATTTTTTGAAGTTGCTTTCTATTTGGATCCTAATGGCTTTCAAATTGTGGAAATCAAGCATTTCTTTAAATATACCCAGTTAAATTTTAAATCCCAACCTAACCCAAAAACAATTGTGAATACAGATTAATGACAAGTCTGGTAGCAAAAAACCCTAGAAAAAAACCTAATTATCATATTAGCATTAAAAATAATTGCCCAACAATACAGAATACTGTGAATTCTTACTTACAATTAAGATAACCTTTTTGTCATCCTTCATCAAAACCCTCTTGCACATTACTGTGTTTCTATAAAAGTGGGTTTCTGGTAATTAAACACTACTTTCTGTGTTTTACCTTATCTCTTTGATTGGCTTCATCTTTTAAAGCTTCTTTCTTCCTTGAAATAATATTAAATAAGTGCTTTACTCCAGATTTAAAACCAGGACAAAAATATAACACCTGTGGAAAGCAAGACTGTCTAAATGTTTACTGAACAAATATAGCATACCCCAAATCATGAAATCACAGCAGTGCATTCTGTGCAGAACTTTGAACATGCATTAGTTAAAATCTGGGACTAAATTTTTGTCTTCCCTCCACAAAACATTGGGCTGATTCATACAGTGCTTAAGGTGACAAGAACACAACATAATACAAATATAAATTCCAAGGGGTTAAGATAACATATCACCAGGATGTCAAGCAGAGAAATTAAAGGTTTGGCATCTTCTAATCAGCCAAAGTCTACTCAATTTAGTTTTCTCACCTTTATTTAGTGTATCACACCAGAAGATGATTTATTTACAATCAAAAAACAAATTCAGGATGGACAATAAAAGTCCTCCAGAAACCTGGAATTCCCAGTGGCATCAAATGGCCCATCCTTCTCTGCCTTACAGCTGCAATGGGGAACCCTTTCTCTGTAAGAGTCACTGATACTAATAATATCACTTGGAAACCACACAAATTATCAACAATTAGCCTTCTATAAATATTCTAGTCCTTCTTGCAGTTGCCTTGTCAGGGACAAACCAAATGAGTTTGTGTGGATTGGATGTTTCCCTCTTATAGCAAAACTGTCAGCTTACCTGGAGTATGCTATTAAGATAACAAGTATTGCCAAGATTATTCAGTCCCACAAACGGTAGTAAATTTTCTCTCTTCTCACAGTTTATAGGTGAAGACTGTGTTGCAGGTACAACTTGATCACTATTAAGCAGAAAGGAGAAAGGCGACTAGTAGTATCTTAAGAAAACAATGTTTTGTTTTTCCACAGAAGTTGTACAATAGGAAAAATACACAGATTTTATTCAGATGACCTGCAGCCCTCTTAGTCTTATACAGCTACTAGCTATTGTTACTTGGTACCTCAGTGATAAACAGGAATGCTGATACAAGTTCACATATCATCTCTGTACCTGATGACCTACAGAAACTAGCAAACTCTACACGGGACCCAAATACACTTTGGGGCCACCTAGTGGAGTGCCCATTTGTTGAATACAAACCTAGTGTCAACTTCAGCTAGAGAAAACTTTCCTAAAAAAGCATAGTAGCATTCACAAAGATACTATCTGCATCAAAAGCAGTTAAGCAGAGTTTGCAACTGTTATTTCTCCAACAGGTGTATGAATAGTTGTGAGTACACAGCTATTATGACTAAGGTTAAATATCAGAAAACTGTCAAACTTCCTACATCCAAGGACTACCTACTTTCCTACACCTACATAATGTTTAAATTATGAATAACTTTAGTTCATAACTATTTCTATAAGTTAGTCTAAATGGCTGAACACAACACTGATGCGCATTACAGATATGAGCGTATCGTAGGAAACCCCAGTCACCTCTGTTCCTAGCACACACTGCCACACCTGCGTTCCTTCATGTCCCTGTTTCTGTGGCACTCTGCGGGCTATGAGGGGGGCTTGGAGGGATCACCCAAGTCCACTACTTGATGCAGAATTTGTCAATGTGTAAAAATACACTTAAAAAATACATACATTTCAGAGCCTCTATATTCAGAAGCCTTTTCTTCACTCTCTTGAGAATCTGTAAAATCCAAGGCTCTCTTGGTTTCCTTTTTCTGAAAAAACTTCAAGGAAAGTCTGTTTTTCTTGGATGGACTGCCTCTTGAAAGCCCATTACTTTCACTAGGTATGACACCAGGCATTTTCTCTTCAAATCCCAATGAGTTGACAGGAATTAATATACAGAGGGCGGTTGTAATCACCAATAATATCTATTAATCACAAAACAGAAGTTTCATTAGTTCTGTAATAGGCAACAAAATCTTCAACTCTGAAAACAAATTCACCCAGGAAGTAGTTCAAATTGGAACTTTCTATTTAAAAACCTAATGCTTGACAACAGATGATAATGTTTACTGCTAAAGTACCGGCCACACTGTCCTTTAAACTTTCTTAGACAATATAACATGAAGGGGCACCCTCAAAAATAACCTTTTTAGTAGACCTGCAGTGAATATTATCAAAGAAGAGTGTAATTTTCCATTATAATTCATGCTAAAACGTTTACAAAGTGCCTATCATAGCCAAACCTAGATTAGGAAGCAGACGAACAGAAAAACAACGTAGTTCTGGGAACTAACGAGTCCTCCCTTTAACCTCTAGTTAGCAGGAATATAGGAATAAAGTCAAACGTTCCAAGTGAAACCCACAGGCATACAGGTCTCACGTCAGTCACACCTAAAGCCTTCAGAGTAAAACGGAACGGCTGCACTGTGTATAGTAAATTCACAGATGCCAGTAGCAACCCCCGAACTTCTTAAAATTGTTTTTTTTTTTAAGTGCTGAGTAGGAAAAATAGATGATTTGGCTTCTCTTCTGCAGTCTTATTTTTTCACAAGTAAAACTTCTAGATGATATAAAGCAGCACTTGTGGTTTTTTCACTGGGAAATGGGGGGGAGGATCGGATTTGAGCACTTCCGTAAACTTACTTAGAACCTAAAAAACTAGAGCAACGAGTTTCAAGTGTAAACACGGCGTAGTAAGAGGAGCTACAAGAAACGCACCCAAGTTCCATTCGGAAGCATTTCATTCAACTGACTAGGAATTCACAGCCCGAACACAGCAGCGAAACCACTTTCCTGGAAAGTCGACCAACCTCCCCGCACTGTCTCCAGCCCAGCTCACTCAGAACGCTCAACCAGCCAGCGCTCACCCGGCACGGATCTCCCAGTACTGACGCTTCTCGTAAAAAGGTTCAGAAGAGCCACCAGAACAGCCGACAGAAGCCGGCTTCTCTCAGTGGCAGAGCGGACCCACAGACTGCTCCAGCGGCGGACACCCCGGACCCCAGAGCCAGGATGCCAACCTGCGCGTTATCCAGGACGCCACGCCGGCCAGGGCATCACTTCTTGTTCCTGGTCTCCTAACCCGGGCGGAGAGGTTCTATCCAAACCTCTAACTAAATCCACTTTCTCCTCTAAATCCTCTTTCGCAGAACACAATGCCTCCCACACGAAACACTCTTTAACAAGTGACAGCAAGAACACCCAGTCCCACTTGCTTCAAATTCGTCCCCTCGCCAGAAGACATGACTCAGTTGCTGCTTTCCAAGGAGAATCGTAAAACCCTCCCGAACAACATCTCTGCTGAAGTTTTAAGACACGTGGCGTTCTTAACTGAGAAAACTCTTAAGTGCGAGAAAAACGCGCGCTAACATTTCGCAACTGCCTACCCAGGACAACGACAGGGCGAAACATCCCCCCTTCTCCCTGTCGGCCACCGCGGCAGAGAGGGAGCCGAGGAGGCGGGCCGCCACTGCGCCGGCGACCGTGCCCTTCGGCCGGCTCGGGGCGCGGCGGGAGGCGGCGTCCTCGGCCCCGCGCCCCCGCAGCTGGCCTGCGCACCGCACCTGCCTCCCCGAGCCACCCCCGGCCACCGCGGGAGCGCACGCCCGCCAGCTCGGCCAGCGTGCAAGACCCAAACGGCGTGCGGTCCTCGCCCCGCAAAGCCCCCCGCTAACTCGGGTGTGCGCCCAACTTGCCTCGGCGCAGGACACGCCGGCCCCTTCTCAGGCCCTCCTCACCTGGTCATGGCCCAGACGCGGTCCGCGGCGCTGACGCCGGCGTGTCCCACCGGGAAGAGTGTGGGTGCGACAGGTCAGTCCCCTGTCCCGACCCCGCAAAGTCCCCGACCCAAGAAAAAGCTGGCCGCTCGCCCTCCCCGCGGGGGAGTGACCATCCACGGCCAAGAGCGGGAAGCCGGGCCGCCGCTCGCTCCCGTCCGGTGCCGGCACCCCACTACATGCCCGGAGCGCCGCCCGCCCCGGCTGGCACGGAGCGCCCCAAGCTGCGGCCCCGCTCGCCAAGCGCCGGAGCCGCGAGGGTCTCCCCCACTCCACCGCCGAGGGGAACTTGGCGCGTTTTCCTCAGGCTCAGGACCCCCGTGTGTTAGCCTCCGCCCGCGCCAGCACTGCGCTGGAAGGTGGCGTCCTTCGAAAATGCCGGTCCTCGTCGCCACGCTGCACAGACGCCAAAGACCAGGGCCGCCTCGCGGCCGCCCCTCGCCCCCGGCGCGCACGGGCTCCGGAACCCGCTGGAACGGTAGCTCCCCCAAGATCCTAACGGGTTCCGACTTTCAAAGAGCGCAGGCAGAGTCTCGGGCAGCTCGCGCGGGTCCTCGCTGAGGGCGCGCACTGGACGCCTGCCTGGCGGGCTCGAGCTTCACACCCCCTTTTTTTTTTTTTTTTAACCATTCGTGCGCGCGAGTTACGAGTACGGGTCGGGAGACGGGACAGAGGGAAGAAGGGCCGGGCCCTCTTGCTCCCTGGTGCTCAAACCCGCCAATCCGTGACGAACCGGCCCCGAGACCTCACGCCCCTCCCGGCCCAGGGGGAGCCAATCAGAAGTGCCCAGACGAAAGCTAGCTGGTTGTAGGAAGTCTAGCCAATACCAAAAAGGAAGAAAACGCTCGGTCCAATCCTTGTCAGCTCTCCAGAGCGTTCCTCAGGCGCGGCTCCCCGCCTCCCGCGCTCATTGGCGCCCGCGTGCGCGCTTCGCCGCGACTGTTAGAGCCGAGCCGTGCGTCGTGCGCGTCCCGCGCGTCCCGCGCCCGCCGAGGCGCGGCCTGAGGAACCCGGCGCGCGCGCCCCGCCCCGCTCTCTTGCGTACACACTCGGGCGGGGTTACCAAGGAGACCGGCGTCTGGAAACGGAGAGCGCTCTTGCCTTCCGCTACGGCGCCCCGGCTTTCTTGTTCTGGGTCGCAGCCTTGGCCCGCAGGGGGAAAAAATGTTTTTTTCTCGTCCGGAGGAAACAAGGCGCTGCGGCGGAAAACAGTAAAGCCTTGGCTGGATGCTGGAGGGCTGAGCCCCCTCCGCAGACCCTGGGCTCCCCTCGCGCACCCGGCTTGGCCGGTGCAGGTGACGCGCACGCAGCGGCAGCGACAGCCCATGTGGTTCTGTGCACTCCGAGGCTCAAAAGCGCTGAAGCCGGCGCCTGTGTGTGTGTACATTTGCCTCTGGGACGTTACCTCAGCACAGGTATTTGAAGAATTAAGCAGGAAAAGTTTAGTCCAATTCCATTCTTTCAAGGATTGTTCCTGCTGTGTACTGCCCGGGCATTTTTCAAAGCACAAGACCGCGGCGTGAATGAAATAACATTCCCTACCCTGAAACAGTTTCACATCGTAGGAGAGGAAGACAGATGTTAAAATACTCGCACATTCTAGAAGTGGTGGGGGAAGTGCGGTTTTAGGTAGTTTAGTCCGGAAAGCTCTTATGGAGCAGCGAGCCTGAGAGGTAAGGAAGCGGAGAATGGTCGCTGCAGAGACAGCAGCCAAGTACAAAGTGCTTCAGTGCGTTTGGCGTTCTGGAAGGTGAGGAAGCTGGGCACCTGAGAGCCTGGGTGGAAAGGCTGCACAAGCGTTTAGCACAGTTGGCTGGGTTCCCATGGAGCAGGCCAAGCTGGAAGGCGCCGGATGTTCCTTGGCTGGGGAGGGGGAGGGTTTGTGAAGTGGCTGCCCCACTGTGAGTAAACTATTGACCTTGAGGGATGCAAGCGGGAAAGTCCATTAGGAGACTGGTTTAGTAGGGCGGCAGTAAATTATGACTTGTAATAGCGTGTTGGCTAAGGAAATGCTGAGAAAATGAAATCTAAGATACTTTATGTGTGTGTATGCGTGAACATAGAAATCTGTGCACATAAATGCACATACACAAAAATATATGACAGTCATTAAGATGGACTGCCCAGATAACAATAGCTGAGACTGTCGCACCAAACCCAGGAGCTTGGAACTCAATTCCAATTTCTCCTATGTGTGGGAACCCTCTCCTGCTGCCTTCCTGGGTGCCACATGAGCACGGCACTGGGATCAAACTCAACTACTGTGAAGGCCAGCCACCCCCATCCCCCGCCCCATCTTAACCACCTAGCCAAACACCTAGGATTTTGTTTGCCCCCAGGACATATTAGGAAGTATACGACAAGCTTTGCTGTAAATACAGTAAGAGACCAAAAGATGACAGTTCCTCAACCCAAGCAGCCAGATAGTTTGGTCCTTGCTTAAGCACAACACCACTTCTACTAAATTCAGAGGAAGGGTTCATGTTTCTTAGATGCAGTAAGGTTGAGATGCCTGTTTCTTTTTTTAAGACTTATCTATTTTAATTGAAAGATTTAAAGAGAGAAGGAGAAACAAAGAGAAAGATCTACTGACTGGGCCTGGCATGATAGGGTAGTGGTTAAACTCCTCGCCTTGCATGTGCCAGGATCCCATATGGGTGTCGGTTCTAATCCTGGCAGCTCCACTTCCCTTCCAGCTCCCTGCTTGTGATCTGCAGAAAGCAGTCGAGGACGACCCAAAGCTTTGGGACCCTGCACCCACATGGGAGACCCAGAAGGGCTCCTGGCTCCTGGCTTCTGATTGGCTCAGTTCCAGCCATTGGGCCACTTGGTGAGTGAATCATCGGATGGAAGATCTTCCTCTCTGTCTCTCCTCCTGTCTGTATATCAGCCTTTCCAATAAAAAAATAAATAAGTAAATCTTAAAAAAAAAAAGTCTACTGGCTGGAGTCCTCATCATACACGCACCAGGATCTTATATAGGTGCTGGTTTTAATCCAGGTTGTTCCACTTCCATCCAATTCCCTGCGACCTGGGAAAGCAATAGAGGATGGCCCTAAGCCTTGGGACCCTGCACCCGTGTGGAAGACCTGGAAGAAACTCCTGGCTTTGGTTTCGGATTGGCTCAGTTCTGGCAGTTGAGACCACTTGGGGAGTGAATCAGCAGATGGAAGATCTTTCCCTCTGTCTCTCCTTTTCTCTCTAAATCTGACTGGGCACAACTACCCAGCTCTTAATGACTGCTGATGTAGGAACATCTGAAACAAGGGGATTAGTAGACGGGCAGCATTCCCAAACCTCCGTGGCAGCCTTCAATGAGCACCAGGCATCTCTCCGTCTCGGGCTTCACGGACACTGCGTTCTGTGGGCAGTACTTCCATTTCCAAATGTAGAAGTATTTGAAAGGCTGGCACCATGTGCAACAGGCTGATCCTCCACCTTTAAGCGCTGGCATCCCTTATGGGCACCGGTTTCTAGCCAGCTGTTCCACTTCCCATCCAGCTTCCCGTTTTGACCTGGGGAAATAGAGGAGAAAAGCCAGGTCCTCGGAAGCCTGCCCCCCACATGGGAGACCAGAGGAAGCGCCTAGCTCCTGGCTTTGGATTGGTGCAGCTCTGGCCATTTGCGGAGTGAACTAGCAGGTGGGAGATATTTCTATATCTGTCTCTTCTCTCTATAAATCCAACTTCCAGAAAAAAATAAATCATTTTTTAAAATTACAAAAAAAGAGAAACAGTTGAGTTTCTACATCCCTTCCAGACTCCGAATTACAGGAGTTTGTGATTTCTGCAGCTGCACAATTGTGTTCCTTTCTGTTTGCAAATTGGCTTATTGGGGCATGAGTTCTTTCATAGAATTTTGTTTGCAGTGTCAAGAAAAAAACCAGAAAGTGCTAAGTTTATCAACTTTTCCAATCATTTCCCTTCATATCACAATTTTGCTTGACAAAATTGTAATCTACTTTCTCAAGTTCACAAAAAGTTTACCAAATATCTTGCAACTGTATGAGCAGGATCACCAGTTCCCCCACCTTGCGGTAAAAGAGTGTTTGCCACTTACCACCCAAATGCTTCCACTAAACCAACACATTTCTTTTCAAGCTGTTATTTATACAACCATTTAACTCTTCAAATCCTATGCGTGTATAACTTGGAAGAAAACAAACTTTTTTGCACCACTCTACCAGAATTGTTTTGAAAGGTCAGAGCAAATAGGCTTATGAGGAGGAAGACTGTGTTGGATAGACATGAAAATTCTTCCTACCTTGAAACATGAAATACAAGCCGTGGCCCTTGGGCCTTGGCTGGCATTTTTTTTTTTAAAGATTATTTATTTTACATTTCAAAGTCAGATATACAGGGAGGAGAGACAGAGAGAAAGATCCGTCCGGTGATTCACTCCCCAAGTGACCGCAATGGCCGGTGCTGCGCCGATCCGAAGCCGAGAACCAGGAACCTCTTCTGGTCTCCCACGCGGGTGCAGGGTTCCAAGATTGCTTTCTCAGGCCACAAGCAGGGCACTGGATGGGAAGTGGAGCTACTGGGATTAGAACTGGCGCCCATATGAGATCCCAGTGCGTTCAAGGCAAGGACTTTAGCCGTTAGGCCACGCTGCCGGGCCCAGCTAGCATTTTTTAAAATGGCAGCTAGCATTGAAAATGTTGGTGAAACTTCTATGCAGTAATTAAACAATAAAGATTACTTCATCAAGCTAAAGTCTGCTCATAAAGTGAAATGTACTCAGCTTTAGGATTTTAGATTCTTTTTATAGATGGGAGGACCTCTCCTGCCTGTGAAAGGAATTTCTTGCCCCTCTTCCTGCGGCTTTGGGAGCAATTTCGTGTTGTCTGAATGTCCAGTAAGTGGGTGGGTGCTGAGGGGGCAGCAGGAAGTCTCACGGGCCTATTTATATTTCACAGGAAGAAAGTCTTATACCATTATTATTCCCTCTATCCTCTTTGTATTTAACTCACCCTGAAAGAGACCAACAATTAAACTTCAATAGCAGTGTTTTTTATTCTTTAAATAAAATTTACTTCCATAAAGTGTTAAAGATTTTGAGTATCATAATGGACCCATGGCTTTTTCAGTCTTGTTTTAATTAAGCGCAACTTATTTCCTCTTTGAAGGAAAAAGTCTTTACAAGTCAGCTTTCAAGAACTTTTAAATCAGCCTCTGTGTCCCATTCTGGTCCTTTCCTTCTAGCAAATTCAAGTCTACTTTTCAGAAATGTTCTTGTTAACTTACAAATGGATTGCTTTGCTTGTGTTATATGCTTAAGCTACAGTGATTACATTACAGTTACCATGTTTAAATGTTTATAAGCCTTAACTTTAGAAAATAATCGTTACAACTTATTTATTTAGTTGAATGGGAGAGAGGAAGGAAGGAACAAGAGATCTTGCTTCCATTGGTTCACTCCCCAGATGGCCCAAATGTCCAGGGACAGTCCAAAGCCAGGAGCCAGAGGTTCCGTCGAAGTCTCAAATATGGGTGCAACAGCACAAGCACTTGGGGTGTCTTTCACTGCTTTACCTAGCACATTAGCAGAAAGCTGTATTAGAGGTGGAGCAGCTGCATTTCAAACCAGCACTGCAATATAGGGCACAGGCATCAAAGGTGGCAGCATAACTTACTGTGCTGCAACATTGGCACCTGAAAAGTAAATCATAAGCATATTATAACATACTAT